GTGCGATTTCGCAGTCCACCCACCGTTTAATGCAATGGTAGAGGTGATTCACTTGAGCTAAAAACACGCATCATCGTCCTCTAGGGAAACACACTCAAGAAGACAACGGTATACTTTTGGGTTACGCTTGGATCCTCTTTGTTCACTGTTCTTAGCTTTTCTGAGAAAAGTGGCAACTTTACTGTTGTAGTGGTTTAAGCCTTCACTTCGTTGAACGCGCAACAGATGCGAATAAGCAGTTGAGTAGTTTGTTATTATATCGTCGTTAATTCTCTGAAAGCAGCCGTTCATATTTCCTTTCTTCAAAAGCTGCTCAGTTCTTTGTTATTTGAGAAGGCCGAAAAGTGTTTTTCTTGTTCTCTGTATTCTGCACTGTCCAATCTTTATGTCGCTGTTCATCTTTATTTCACTTGAAAATTGCGGTAGGGATTTCTAGTGGTTATGACACAATCTTCTTTGCCCCGTTTAGGGTATAGTGCGATCCATAGGGCAAGGTTGCTCGCAGAATTATGCGCGATCAGCAACTTATCGCTCATATCACCTTTATTCGTCTCATTTAGTGGTGTGGTGCAGCGGTCGGTGGCATGTTGGCAAAAACGTAGTCATGAGAATGAAGGTGGAGACAACGAGTAAAAGGCTTAGAACCACCCTCAGATCTCCACAGAAAGGAAATTTCTCCCAGTGAGCAAATTTCTTCTCAGATAGGTTTGTGGTTTGCACGATTCTTCTTGAAGACGACTCATTAAGCATTTAATGATGTCGATATGTTAAAGAACACTTCTAGACAGCATTTAAATATTGGGACTAAAAAGTGTACTCATAAGCGTGGTGGTGCATAATACCTGTTTGTCATTAATAGTGAAAGGGGTGTTGCACCAAAGCGGAAAGTGGCGAAAGAATTAACAATGTGATTGTGAAGGGCTGAATCAGAAGCGGGGTAGAACCATAAATAAAACAAGAATCACCGTAAATGTCTGGAAAGAGTGGATCAGGAGCGGAAGCTGGACGCGCACAGATCGGATGAGTTGCCGCTGAAAATGTACGTCAGTAAAAGATGGTTTTTTTAAAGTGCATTGTGAAACAACTGGCTTAGAAATCAGTGGGTGATAACGAGCGGCATTTACATATGTTGCATACTAGAAACACGACGATGATAACGTATATGATGAAGATTATAATATACAGGAATTCGCCGAAGTGTAAATCTATGGTGAGCATAAAGTTTGGTGTAAAAGATAATTCGCCTGCAAAAAGCTTGAGATGGTGGAACGCTTGGTACAGATTTAAATTTTCTCCAACGAATGCTGCATACCAGGCACCTTCACGTTCCAAAGGGTTCAATAACTAGTGCATTGCTGCAAGGCGCAAAAGCTTACCATTTATTTGCGTGTATGAGAAGGAAATAGAGGGCGAATGTGCTAAAGGAATACTTTAAAGTGCTTTATGAATTTCGTAATTTCACGCTAAATATTTGGCCCGTCACAACCTATGAATCATATCGTAAAACCCACTTGCGAAAAAAAAACCCAAACCCAAACCCCGTATGCAAATTCAACACTAGAAGAACAGAACCCAGGAATATGTAGAAGACGAAGAAATGATGGTGAAACGGATACTCGTATTTGCTCACGCAATAGCCCCAAATGGAAAGCTTGGTCGCCTTTTTGACCTTGAAATTTCGAAAATTTTTCGAAAGCACCTCAGCGAGTTATCGAAGATCAACACTCGTGAAAGCTGTTTTCAAAAGGTTCAAAATTCATTACAAGCTCGCAATAAGTCGTATAAAAACAACATGTTTCGTATAAAAAATACAGTGAATGTGTTTAGAACACTGAAGCGGTTGCATCGTTCGAATTTTTTTCATTGTGGACCATTTAGAAACGAATAGCGCGTTCGCTCGCCACCGCAGACACCTGCGGTCCGGAGTTTTGCGAACACCTCAGCATTATAGAAGTTATATTTCACAACATACTGTGCCATTAAAAAGAGTAGGCAGTAAATAAAAAGGTTAAGACTATATATGATTTATCAAGAATGATGGAAGCAATTGTGAGATAAACTGTGATAGTGTGTTTAGCGAACAGTTCTGCGGCACGCATATTTCCAGTTGTAAGGTGATTGTTCATATTTGATTGCGTTAACCTGTGATCATTTCCGGGGCTACTCTTCCTACATTTAAGCATCGGAAAGGCGACAGAATGCGTGTTTCAATTGTGCAGTGAATGTCGGGGCTCCCTCATATGTCTCATCAGTGTTCTTCTTCTTTTTTATTCTAGATCAATCTGATATCAATTTGCTAACTACAAATAGGAGCACTCGCGCATTCTGTTCGCGTACCTCAGAAGGAAGGATAACTGATATGACTGAGATTGAAATATACGCTGTGTTACTGACAATGCGTAACTCTATAGACATGCAAAAAAAAGACAGGTTGAAACTACACAATAGAGCAGACTATTTCAGACACGTACGAAGGGTGTAATGGCCATTAACAGGCTTATAATAATGAAATGCAGTTCTCATGATCGGCTTTCTATTAACCCCGGCATTGGAATATAAATACCTCGTTTTCTCGCCAAGTAAATTTCTTCAATAAAATAAGTTTGTAATAATTTAAGTAATAGTGTACAGTTCCAGGCTCTGAATCAGGCGATGCTGCCGAAACGTCAGCGAGGCGTATTAATGCATGCGTGGGTGAGTGTGTTCTCGTTTATGCGCATTTATTCTACGACTCAGTTCGGCCAAAAGCTTGCAGTCGAGTACGGCAGTCTACAAGTCGGCATACTCAATTCCCACGTTCGGAGTTCAGCAAGCTATACGTGGGTATTAAGCGCTAAACGCAGTAAAATAAACGGGTCTCATTCCTCTAACATTGAAAGGTCCTCCATTACGACTGCGCTGAATAGGTCGGGTTGGGATAGACTGCAAAAATCTCAGGGCCATTCTAAGCTAAGAAAATCGCGAAAGACTAAGATGACGATCTGCATCTCCAATGCAAGCACACTTGTATCTCACTCCTCCATAGAAGAGTTGATCGCGCAATTAAGAAAGATGAGGTACAACGTCATCGGACCGGCCAAGACGTTATCACGCCACCCATTCAATGCCGCCTATCACACCGGAAAAGAAGTGTTCCTCAAAACAGGCGAAAAGAGAGGAGTCGGCACTCTCGTGTACACGAGCTTGTCCATCTCGCCAAAAATATTTACTACGGTCCTTGAGAACGTTATGCGAACATTCATATAGGACAACATAAGAATGAAAATTGATGGTCAAAAATTACGCCTTCGATGCTTTGCTGATGACATTATTCTCATGCCGCCAAGAATTAACCAGGCGGAACGAATGCTTCTGGCTTTGATAATCACTTTGGAAAGGTTGGTCTTCGAATAATTCTCAAAAGAAACAATGTTTATGAGGAGCGGATTGGTTGTGTATGCCACATTGGCGCTCAACCGAACGAATATCCCAAAGTGCTTTAAATATGTCAATCTAGGTCGGGAAATCAACGCGGTGAACGACTTTGCTCCGGAGCTCCGGAAAGATAATCTTCGCTTTGCTGATAACGTCGTTCTTATAACACCAAACATTAGCCAAGCGGAACGAATGCTTGACGACTTTGATAAAACTTGTGGAAAGATTGGTCTTCGAGTAAATCTCACACAAACGGCGTTAATGAAGGACGGTTTGGTTTCGCATGCTCCATTCACGCTCAACGGAGCGAATATTTCTAAATGCTCCAGTAATATCTATCTAACCCCACTCAGCGCTATCGAACGTGCAGTCGAAAGGGCGATACTAGGAGTATCCCGTTTCACGCAAATAAGGGATGGGATCGGAAGCCCCGACCTGCATCAACGATCAAAAATCGAAGACGAAGTTTTGTACGCCATACTGTCGAAGGTAAGGTGGGCTCGGCACGTAACGTGTATGAATGACAAGCGATGGACAAGAGCCGTTAGTGACTGGATTCTTCGGGATGTCAAACGTACTGCAGAAAGACCACGGACTCGACGGTCAGTGGTCTTTGCCCCACGGATTGCTCGGCGCTTTTCTCTACTAGTTTTCTGCCTGACGTTGCCATGAGCAATCACCCGTCACCGGGAATGTTCTGGCGAGCACAAATCGGCATTAAACATAGTTGTGTTGAGGCTGTAGTGTAAATCACAATGCTAACCTTTTATTTTCTGCCTACTACAACTTTTCACAGCAGAGTATGATGTGACATACCACCACAGCGACGCTGAGGCACTCACAAAACTTGGACCCTCAAGCCAGATCGAACGGTGATTTCCCTTTCTGGGTGTTCGCGCATAACACACTGCTCTACGGCCTCAGTTTAACTGCGTTCAATGCCAATTTCTGCTCCGCAGGTCAATCGCGATGACGGTTTATTTCAGATGGTAACGTAAGGTATAAATCTAGCTGAGAGAACGCAGAGCACGGGCCTCTGTGGCGCAGTGTGTAGTGCGCGAGGCCCTAGAAAGGGAAATTGTGGTTCGATCCGGCCAAGTCATGCGAATATCAGCATTGTTGTGTTCCATCCAAACGTCAACCTCCGGTGAGAAATAGTAGTAGGCAAAAAATAAAAGGTTAACAATTTGTATTTACTGCATGCTAAAATATTCAGTGTGGTGTATTATGCGAATTCAAATACAATGATCCTGAGATATTTGCAAAACTTTGGAGCGATGGTGTCTGTGGTGGGGAACGAACGCGCCATTAACCTTTCCAAGGGCTTTCTTGTTCAGCACCACACCATGCGCGTACTACGTTTTGCTTCTCTCTCAGCTAGTTTACAAATGTCTTAACACACGAGATTGTCACTTTGTTCTTTATTTGCGAAGAAGCTGACCTTTCAGCGGATTTCGCCTTTCTCAGATCCGCTTGCTGTAAGCGCTCCATTGAGTATTTTACGTGGGGACTCATATCAAGACTGATAGAAGGCGGCTTTGAGGAAGGCGAAGTCCACTAATTGGTCTGGTCTTTTTTTTGTGAATAAGGAATAGAGTGACAACCTTGTTTGTACTTATCAAGAAAAGAAGGAATTAGAGGCATATTCGACTACTGCATTTAATTAACACAGTAATTAAAAAATCTTCAGGAAGTTAAGGCAACATCGCACGTATTTCTCCCAATATCATCTGCAAATTCAACAGCAAAAGAGTTGAGCCCAATTATATGTAGAAAATGAAGAAGCTGACGTTCATGAGCATTTCGTCTTCCTTAAAACCTGAAAAGGTCTAGTTGACTGGTCAGCCAAATACCTATTTAGCTTCAAGAGGGAAGGCACGAAACCAGAATGTTCTTCGCGCTGACGTTTTAGACCCCTGAGCGAGGATTATGAGTTCCACTTCAATATCTTGCGCGTTATGTATATGTGTCCCATATGCTCCTAAGTGGAGTACTTTCTTCTGTGGTACGCTCACCGTTTAGGTGTTCCTTTATACAAACTTCTGCTGTTGTGAATGAACGACATATAATAACAGCTTCGTGTGTGTTAATCAGGAAAGCAGCAAGTTATTCATCAATGCCGAGGCTTATAGAAAGTCCATCTTGAGAAATGCAGATAATGAATGTTCATTCTCTCCTTCAGAAGCTAACCCGAGGTTAATAAAAAGCTTTATTCAGCTAATGTTTCGCCTTCTTCGCGTTATTCAGAGCAATTCGGTGTGAGTCGATTGTTCAAAATTATTCCTTCTTACGATGTGGGTCTTCGTTATCTTTTTGAGTGTAATACAGTAGAGCACTGTTTGAATGAAGTAGCCTCAGTCGGCAGTGCTGCTTTGCGGAGGACGAGACGACTGTTTATAGTGGTGGTCAACATTTTAATATTCAACAAATCTCAAAACACAAATTCAACACGGCAGTTTCTGATCTCCGGAACATTTCTCGCACAAGGTTTAATGATATTCGAAGTAGTGGTCGGTAGATCACACTCCTCGTGAAGATGTTGGGTGAGCTGGAGTTTCGCAGTCAAGCCGTTCCAGGTCTGTTGTACGGCACAATGCCGCATTTGAATATGACTAGGAATTGGAGCTTTCTGTTAACCACTCCAGACATACTTTTCCCGCGAGATTGTTTATACGGATCAAGGATGTTGTGATTTATTAAACCAGCTGTAGACCAGGAAACGGTCAGTAAATCGAAAAACAGACTTTCTGTGAACCTCGGCATAGATAGTTGATATATTTATTTATGTGATCTTATAAACTGATCTTCTTAAGCTGACGCGAGGTTGGCACAGATCTTCGTTGTCGTTGTCGTTGTCGTTGTTCTTATGTTATTGATTAGTGGCTGACGTTTCGGCAACTTCGCCTTCCTCAGAGCCGTGATGTTACGTGCGGGACTCTCAGTAAATCCTCTTTTCGGTGCAGTATTCGCTTCGGAATTAGTTACGAAGCTTTGTCGCGGTACAACCACTGGACCGATTCACCGCTTCTTATCGTGGAGAATACATTACCGGTTGCGCATCGCAATACTGTCAAGGGATGGGTTGCTCTAGTTGGGCAGAAGAAACACCCATGGTCCCTAAGACCGACTGATTTCCTTTCGAGTGCTATTCAAATCGTGTGGCACCATTATAGTTATACCTCACCTAATATGCATTCTTTCTTTGATAAGCTTACACGAGGTTGATAAATAATTTTTGTTTGGCCGACGTTTCCACGTCTGTGTCTTTAACAGAGCAGACGATCCGAGTCGATAGTCCATGGGTTCCACTTCGTGTCGATGTGGCATCTCTACCTTGAGTATGTCTCATTCGAGAGATGGTCAGATGAGGAAAACACAACCCGGTTGTGCTACAGGATGGGTTATCGGTTGAAAAACAAACTGTGATCAGTGGATAGTCTTATCAACAACAACCACACTGTATGAAAGGACACTGCCGAGTGTGCATTCCCCATTCGTGCTGTTTACTGAAGAAGAACCAGCCTCGGTACTACAACGAAAGGCACATCGAGAAGGCGAGCGACTGTGGGCCATCTACACATCTAATCATCTAATTTCGGCGCCTCTGTCATTTTTAGAGTGTAGTTGTTCTGAACCGATAATACACAGCTGGTCGTCCTCGCGAAGCTGGTGTTCCTTGTCCCATCGAGTCGAATCTAGTGAAGGGAACACTACTCGAATAAAGAATCTCACTCAGTAAGCGCTTTTGTACAGGACGAATGTCCATCTATTGCCACAGTACCATATGATCTGCTTTTTTGCAGGCAATGTGTTTCGCAGAGATCCCTATTATTCTAACTGCTACATAGGGCAGTGATATATCTGTAAAGACCGACTTTCATTAAACTTCAGCAGGAGTAGTCAATCTCGTTCCAAATTATTCAACATGGAGCGACGCTCAGTTTCATGCCGATTACATAATTGTTGGTTTTAGAAATTGGACGATAACTTTTGATAACTGGAGGACTTGAGGTGAAGAGAACAGCACTCCTTATAGCACAGGCTTTCTTCTGTGGATTTAATAGCGTCCATGGTATGTACGCTAGTGTTTTCTTCACTCCGCTATGGTCCCCCACACGGATGTCAGTGGGAACGAGCTAACGATCATTCTATTTCTGTAATTGCCAAACTGATTTTTCACAAGCCTCAGTACTAACCAAGAAATCTCGGTGCTGACCAAGAAATCCATGCATTCTTTGCGGGCAAACACGAGGTTGTTAATCTGCTACAATCTTGCTGGGCAAAACAAGAGATTTCACTTTATTGCTTATTCACGGTAATGCTAATATTTCGGTGGCTTCCTTCAGAGTCTAGGAAATCCATGTTGATTTAAATCTACCCTACTAAAAACCTCCCTAACCAAATTGAGGAAATACTAGAAAAGATTTCATTGCATGAGTTCATGTATAATATACTTGATCTCATGTAACGCTTGCGGCGAGGAATATATTGGGAAAACGGGTACACGACTCCGTGTCCGCATATAAGAACATCTAGATGGAGAAGCTAAAATCCGTCTGAACACTCCTCTAGGTACGCATAGGGCACAAAAGCACAACGACGATGACTTTGAAGTGACTATGCGGATTCTAGAGCAGGAATCAAAAACATCAACGCGCAAAACTCTTGGGGCATTTTGATAAATTTCAAAAATCTGAAGATGAACCGGAAAGACGAATGCCTCACTATCACGCTTGACTTAGCGCCCTATTTCAGAATGATATTTTAACCCAAGGTGTGCCTTGCTAGCGACCCCACGAGACCCACGTGTGGGCCAGTCCTACAAGAAATACCACGGTGAGCGACCTTTCCCTTCAATATGGCCTCTATTTGAAAGTTTGATCCTCATCAATACTTTAGCCTTTTTTCCACCGAATAATAAAAATATTCTAATCTAAAATACGTCCAGGCTCTGAGGAAGGCGAAGTCGACGAAACGTCAGCCATCGACCAACAACATCAACAACAACGACAACGACAACGACAACGAAGATCTGTACCAACCTCGCGTCAGCTCAAGAAGATCAGTTTATAAGATCACATAAATAAATGTATTAACTATCTATGCCAAGGTTTATAGAAAGTCGGTCTTTCGAGTTAAAGAAGATTTCAATTGCCATGACCGACTTTCTGTTAACCTCGGCATTAATTGATAATTCAATGTTTTTCATCAATAAGCAGACACGAGGTTGTTAATATAGAATTTATTAGAACACAATTGCTGACGTTTCGGCGGTTTCGCCTTCTTCAGAGCCTGGAAAGGTCAAATTGAGATGCGATCTACTCAGCCAAACACTTTCATAACCCTAGCAGATAAAACTTGATAAATCGATTTGTGTTCGCATAAGAAACAGCTTCATTCAAACACCTACCGTTTATTTGTCGTAAGTATTTAAGTTAGTTGGTGGATAGCCGCCGCACAGAGTAATACATGGTCGATAACTGGGTCCATGTCAGATCATTGGATCAGCCTGAGGTATGGCGCTAGGTCACGCGTGATGACAAGACACTCCTCCTTGCGGTTCATTTTTGAATTTTTGGCATTGATCCAAAACGCTTCAAGAGTTTTTCGCGCTGATGTCGCGCTCGCTATTAGAATTAGGTCCAAGCTTCTCACCAGCGCAACCCATTTCT